GAGAGAGAGAGAGAGAGAGAGAGAGAGAGAGAGAGAGAGAGAGAGAGAGAGAGAGAGGGAGGGGAGGGAGGAGGGAGGGAGAGAGAGAGAGAGAGAGAGAGAGAGAGAGAGAGAGAGAGAGAGAGAGAGAGAGACAGACAACAGACAGACAGACAGACAGACAGACGGACAGACAGAGAACGAGAAGTGAAAGAGTGAGAGTGAAAAGAGTGAGGGTGAAAGGAGAGAGAGAGAGAGAGAGAGAGAGAGAGAGAGAGAGAGAGAGAGAGAGAGAAGAGAGAGAGAGAGAAGAGAAGAAGAGAGAGAGAGAGGAGAGAGAGAGAGAGAGAAAGAAAGAAAGAGGGAGAGAGAGAGAGAGAGAGAGAGATGTGACAAGAGAACCGGAAGTCCCACGGAACAAGTCTAGGAGCAAGACAAACAAATATTTTACATGCCACTGTAAGTAGGAGGAGGCGAATAGAGAGAGGGGAGGAGAAGGGAGGGGAGAGGAGAGGGATGTGAGGGGAAGGGAGAGGGACAGAAGAAGGAGGGAAGGGGAAGGGAGGGGAAAAGAGGACTGGGAGGGAGAGAAGAGAGAAGAAAGATGGCAGGGTAAGGGGAGAGGAGAGGGAGGGGGTGGACGTACTGAATAGGGTTAATTTTTCTTTTTTCTTGGGTTTTTTGTTTTTGGTTCTGTTTCTCTCTCGCTCTCTCTCCAGACTATTGTTTCCTGATACAATGGGGGCGAAAACAACAGCATTCTTGTGGGTATTCATTTTTTTCTTCTTAAAGACACTTAGTGGAGAGAGAAAACATGGATATCGTATTAACTCTTATGAAAAAAGGTTATTTTCTTGTAATTATGTGGTGTGTGGCACGTGGCATGGGGTGTTATGTGGAATGTGGTGGTATTTGGTATGTGGTGTTATGTGGTATGTCGCATGTGTTGGTATGTGGTATTATGTGGTATGTGGTGTTATGTGGTATGTGGTGTTATAACACGCGGAACCAGAAGGGATATGAAATTATGAAAATGGTAGATATGATGCATGAGGGGATAAGAGGGTCAAGGAAGAGAAACAGAAGATAAAACAATAATCGAAATAGAAAAGGAAGATTTTGATTTTACCGGATTACTGATGATGAAAAATACATAAAATGTTAGTTGCGATAATAATTGTGGTGGTGATAGTGGCGGCGGTGATAGTGAGTTCTAATGAGGATTATGAATGTGATGATGATGAGGAAGAGAATATTTTGGGTGGATGGCGGAGATGGGGACAAGTCATGACAAGTCTCCCCCTCTCCTTCCCCCTCGCCCCTCTCTATTCCCCTCTCAACATGCTCCCCCCCCCTCTCTGCCTCCCTCCTCATCCCCACCGTCTCCCCTCTCCCCGTCCTCCTTCCCTCTCCTAACCACCCTCCCCCTCTTTCCACCCCCCCCTCTCTATTCCCCTCTTCCTATTCTCATTTCCCCCTCCCTACCTCCCTACTTCCCTCCATGTCCCCCTCTCCCTTCCTCCTTCCCTCTCCTACCTCCCTCCCCTCCTTCCCTCCCTCTCCCCTCCTTCCTCCCTTTCCTCCTTCCCCCTCCTCCCCCTCCTTCCCTCCCACTCTCTTCCCATCCCTTTCCCCTCCTAACCTCCCTCCCCTCTTCCCCGCCCTCCCCCTCCTTCCCTCCCTTTCCTCCTTCCCCCTCCACCCCTCCTTCCCTCCCACTCTCTTCCCATCCCCTTCCTTCTCCTAACTCCCTCCCCCTCTTCCCCCCCCTCCCCCTCCCCCCCTCATCACAACCCCAGCGACGTCCACCAAGACAAGCCTACAAGCGTCTCCCTGACGCAGCGATGCATCCTCAGCGGGAATAATGGGTTCTCCGAGATCTATTTTTCCCCGTCCGTTTAATTTCGAGCTCTTGGCCCCTTAACACGTCGTCCTCGGTGGTTTTATGTGGTCTGTGGCGTTATGTGGTGTGTGGCGTTATGTGGTATGTGGTGCGTGTGTTATGTGATGCGTGGTGTTATGTGGTATGTGGTGTGTCATTATGTGGTCATGTGGCATTGGTGTGGTATGTGGTATGTGGTGTCATGTGTGTATGTATATGTGGTGTGATGCGTGGTGTGTGGTGTTATGGTGGTGTGTGTATGTGGTGTCATGTGGTATGTGGTGTCATGTGGTATGTGGTGTCATGTGGTATGCGTTGTTATGTGGTGTGTGGTATTATGTGGTATGTGGTGTTATGTGGTATGTGGTGTTATGTGGTGCTATGTGGGTGCTTACGTCAATGTTATGGGCAAGGATGATCCCCCTTTAATGGTAAGGGAAAGACGGTCTGAGGCGGACGTCTTTTTGAGATTATTTTCATTTATCTATTTTACTTTTTTGGTTTGTTTTTATTTGTTGTTTGTTTGGTTGTTTATCTGTATATTTATTTACTTATCTGTTTATTCGTTTATTTGTTTATTCATATATGTGTGCATTTTTGTGGAGGATGAAAGAGAGCGGAGGATGGGAAGATGAAAAGGAAAAATGAGAGAGTGGAAGAGGGAGAGATTTAAAAAGAGAAAAGAGAAAAGAAAGTAGATAAGAGAAACAAAGAAGAAAGATAGAACAAGGAAACTAAGAAGAAAGAAAGATGGAAACAAGGGAAAACAAAGAAAGAAAAAGAAAGAAAGAAAGAATAGAAGGAAAACAAAGAAGAAAGGTAGAGGAGGAGAAAGAGAACGAGAGACAACAAAAGAGGGAGAAAGATCTACCTCGCTTTCCATGTCTCCCTGTCAGCTCCTTGGATTGCCTCAGCAGTAGCTATCACCGAGGACTTGCAAGTGGGATCTTGTCACGAGCTCCCCCCCCTTCCCCTAGCCTCCCCCCCTCCCTCCTTGCCTCTCCTCGTCCCCGTCTCCCTCTTGCTCCTTTCATCTCCCTCTCGCTCTCTCTCTCTCTCTCTCTCTTGCCTCTCCTCGTCCTTGTCTACCCTTGCCTCACCTTGCCTCATTGCATCACCCCTCCCCCTTGTCTCTTTTCGTTCCCCTCCTCCTTGCCTCCTTTCTCCGCTTTCCCCCTCTTTTCGTTCCCCTCCTCCCTTCACCTCATTTCGTCTCCCTCTTTCCCTTGCCTCTTTTCGTTCCCCTCTTCCCTTCGTCTCCTCCTCCCCCCTTGCCCCCCTCTCCCCCCCTCTCCTTTACTTCCCCTAAGTAGCCTCAATGATCCATTAAACGTTACAACAAACTTCTTTCGTAAAAAACCATAAAAAGTCGGACTTATTCCTCTCCGATGAACTGCAAACTTTTCGCTAAGTCTTTCGTTCTTAAAGCCCTCGAGAACACGCACAAAAGAACATTCACATACACATTGCACATACACTCACACCTGCACACAGACACACACACACACATACACACACGCATGCGCACGCACGCAGACAAAAGAGTCGCAATAATAATCACAAGAACACACACATACACAACACACGCACAAACCCACACACACACACGCAACACGAAGCCAATATCCCAACAGCTGAATAGCTTCCAAGGTTGATTTATTCCAGACTGAAGTCCCCGATGGCCCCAGACGCAGTCGCCTGTGACTTCGCTTAATGGCTGGTCTGTCCTTCTTGGTCATGTTACCTCGGGGTTCCTCAGTAAGCAATATTCACCTGTGGGACTATGGATAGCAGGGCTGAGAGGGACACGGAATTCATAAGCAAAGGAGAGGCTTCGGACTGCTAACCGAATTCCCTCTTGGGACGAATTTGGTTAGCTCTCTAGAACGCCTGTGATGGAAGGGCGTCGGGAGAGAAGGCGCGGGGAATCGGCCTGATGGTGAGGGATGGTAGTAATAATAGTGGAAAGGATAATGATAATAATGATGAAAAGGATGATGATAATTGTAGTAGAAATGATAAATTATAACAATTATGAAGATAATGCAGATTATTGAACTAATACAAGTAAAAATGACGATAATAATGATTATGATAATGATGATATTAGTAATGATAATGACAATAGTAATGATGATGATAAGATGATGATAATAATGCACATGAGAATGACGATAGCTGTGATTAAGATAATGGTAAAAATAATGAAGTTGATAATAGTAATAATGCTGCTGTTGATGACGATAATGAATTTATCAAAATAAAAAATAATCATAGAAAAAAAAAATTATCGTTTTGATACTCAGGAGGAACGACTTAATATCAAACGAGTCAAAATAAGTCGAAGAAAATAAGTATAGCCGGAGATTAAACAAGTTTATAAACCAACTTTTAATCGTATCGCAAGGAATCAAATAAACATGATAATCGCGATGCAGTACCCAGTGCCCGCGTATTCCACGAGGGAGAGCGGGGGGGGGGGGGACTCTTATTTTTCAGCGAAGGCCGCGGCGTTAATTATTTATGTTTTTTGGGCTGAATATGAGAGAGAGAGTGGGAGAGAAGAGTTGGATGACGAGGCCGGCGGAAGGAATGCGATTTGGATTAGGGTGGAGGGAGGGGGAGGGAGAATGAGGGAGAGGGGGAATGCCTGGCTGACTGGGTGACAGAAAACGATGGAGAGGCAGACAGACAGATAAACAGACAGACAGACAGACAGACAGACAGACAGAGAGAGACAGACAGGCAGGAACCGCAAGCAAACAAACAGACGGACGGACGAAGAAGAGAGAAAATAAGAGATAAAATATAGACCACCGAAAAGACTTGGAGATCATTACGTCAAGGGAAAAGCAGGGAGAAAAAAAAGGAGAAGAGAGAGAAAAGGCAAGTGAGAGCACCAAGATGAAATATGGAGACAAGCAGAAGGGGAAATAAAGTGGAATAGAAAGAAAACCCGGACCCCGTTCACATTTCCCCTTCCTACCCGCATTATACGTCCTTCTGGCATCCCCCAGAACAGCTCTCTCATCCGAAGACCTCATTCCTCCCCCTCCCTGGCATAACCCTTCAGCACACTCGTAATAAAGTAGGGGAGCCAGAGAGAGAGAGGGTTACTAATGTCCTTAAGAGGGACAAAATGGATCCTTTTGAAATCCTCTGGTTTTCTTGTGTGATAGGACTCAATGGTATTCGTCGTTGGCTAATCGGCTTAACAGGCAGTCTCGCAATTGTGTCTTTGTGGCCTCAGAGTCGCTGGTCATTAGGAACTGTCATCTTATGTGGCAGTCAAGAGAAGGATATTTTTGTCTGCTGTTAGTTTTGAAGTGCCTTTTACGAAAAATGAGCCGTGGGATCTCCCCTTTTTTCCACTAGAAATGGATTAATTATCTGTTTAAATGTTGTGAATGAATTTATAATTGGGTGCTTTGAATTTTCGGATTTGTTTTTCTTGTTCTGATTTTTTGAGTTGAATGTGTTTGTCAAGGCTTGCGGATAATCAGCTTTGGAGAGAAAAAAATGTGGTGCTCTCTCTCTCTCTCTCTCTCTCTCTCTCTCTCTCTCTCTCTCTCTCTCTCTCTCTCTCTCTCTCTCTCTCTCTCTCTCTCTCTCTCTCTCTCTCTCTCTCTCTCTCTCTCTCTCTCTCTCTCTCTCTCTCTCTCTCTCTCTCTCTCTCTCTCTCTCTCTCTCTCTCTCTCTCTCTCTCTCTCTCTCTCTCTCTCTCTCTCTCTCTCTCTCTCTCTCTCTCATTCTATTTCATCTGTTACAAGAGCATTAGTGGATAAGAAACTCCTTCATAACGATAAGCCTTGCTCGTCCTCTGTTCGCAAGCTGCCTGAATTCATAATTTCATTAGAGAAAAGTAAAAACCGTTAACGCTTTAATCTGACTTTTTTGTAAACGACTCAAAGAACAGCAACTGACAGCGTAACGAAAGAAAATGAGAATAGTCTAAAAGAATTAAAAAGAATTTCGTAGTGGTAAGATATTCCTCTTTAAAAAAAGCCTTGTTAACAGTGAATTGTAAAGAGACAAGTTAAATAAAAGAAACGGAATAGAGTAAAATAACATGAGCATGTACTGCCTTTTATCCTGATGAATAAAGCCAAAAAAGGCACCACTGTTTTGTTTCAACTGATGTCCCTCCCTAAGGCCCGACACATTGTTCTCAAAACTCTCTCTTTGAAGAATATCTTTGCATGTTTACCCGCCTGAATATCCTTTTCTTTATTCGAAAATCCAAAGAAGTTTGTGTAGCGCAAGGAGCTTGGCGTCTTCATGCTGGGCAAATATTTACTCCCGTAGTCCCTGTCACCTCCCAGGGTAAGACGGCGTATGGGGGGAGGGGGGGGGTCTTTTTCTTGTTTTTGCGCCGCTCGGAGGCAGGCGATGCATCACGCGAAGGGGAGGCTGATTTTTCTCTCTCTGCCAGGAGAAGTGCTGATGGCGTTGACATATATATATATTATATATATATATATATATATATATATATATATATATATAATATATATATATATATGTTGTGTGTTGTGTGGTGTGTGTGTGTGTGTGTGTGTGTGGTGTGTGTGTGTGTGTGTGTTTAGGTGTGGGTGTGTTTGTGTGGGTTTATATATTTTTTATTTATAATTTATATAAATGTATGTATAATCCATCTATCTACCTATCGATCGATCTGTACATATATATTTATGTAGTAGCATATGTGTGTGTGTGCATATATAGATGGTCAGATCCGAAGATGGAATCGAGGACGATTCTGAAACTGTTGTCTCACTAGTCTGCGCATTGTGATTTTTCTTCTACAATATATATGTATAATATATATATATATATATATATATATATATATATATATATATATATATATATATATATATATATATAATGTATATGATATATGATATCTGTGTAAATGCATATATTATGTATGTAAGTATGAGTGCGTGTGTGTTTGTTTGTATCTTTTGTCCGTCCTATGTGTACTCCCTCTCTGTTTCTTACCATCGCCGTCCCTCCTTCCCACTCCCTCCTTCCTTCCTTCCTTCCCTCCTCCCACCCTCCCTTCCTCTCCTCTCCTTGTCCCCTCTTTCTCCCTCCTTCCCTCCTTCCCTCCTCTCCTTCCTTCCTTCCTTCCTTCCTTCTTCCCTTCTTCCCTCCCTTCCTTCCTCTCCTTTTCCCCTCTCTCCCTTACTTCCCTCCTTCCCTTTCTCCCTTCCTTCCTTCATCCCTCCCACCCTGCCCTCCTCTCTCCTTGTCCGGCTCTTTCCCTCCTTCCCTCTCTCCCTTCCCTTCCCTTCCTTCCTTCGCTTCCTCCCTCCCTCCCTTCCATCCTTCCTTCCTTTCTCTCCCTTCCTTCCTTCCTTCCCTCCCACCCACCCTTCACCAAACTTCCCAAACTCATGTCCACCTTTTCACAAATACTTTCCCCTTTTTCCCCTCACAGGACGTACCTCGTGGTGGCCCCGCGCCTGGTACGAGCCGGCCAGGTGTACCGGCTCGTGGTCAACATTCTGGAACCTTCGCCTTCCCTCGTTGTCAGAGCCACCATCTTCCGTGACAACATTGAACTCGCTGCCGTTGAGCATGAGTGTGAGAGCGACGCCCCGCAGGTCCTGGAGCTTATGGTGAGTTGTGGTGTCCTTGTTTCTTGGTTGTTGGTGGCGGGTTGTTTTGGTATGAGGTTGTGAGTCGTGATTTTTTTTTTTTTTTTTGTTTTTTTTTTTTTTTTCGTTAGTTAATGACAAGTGATTTTGTTGTTGCTAGCGTTGAGTTGTATTTAAAGGGTTAATGTGAGATGTAATTAGTTTTTTTGAGGGGAACGTGGGTTGTCATTTTTTAGAATTATTTCTGGTTGTGGTTAATTTCTTTTTCTTTTCTTCTTTTGGTGGTTGCGTGCTCTCTTTCTGGTTATTAGTTGTTCTGTCTTTGTTTTTGCTGTTGTTGTTCTGGGGTGGGGGTTGTCATTCTGAGATCATTGTGAATTTTAGTGTCTTTGTTTTCCTGTTGTTGCTGGTTATAGGTTGTTTTTTTAGGATATTGTTAATTTTGTTCTACTGTTGGTGTGGTTGTTGGGTTGTCAGGGATGGTGGTATGGTGTCGGTAGTAGTGGGAATTGTAGCAATAGTATTAGTAGCAGAAATAATAGTAGTAGCAGTAGCAGTAATAGTTATATCGATGATACTGAATATGATAATGATTGTAATGAGGATGATGATGATAATAATGATGATGGTAAGGATGATGATGGTGATGGTTATGATGATTATAATAATAATGAGGATGGCGGTGATGATAATGTCGATGGTAATGAGGATTATGATAATAATGATGGTGATAGTGAGGATTACGATGATGACAATGACGATGTCAATCATGACACCGAAAACGACAAAAAAGAAGGCTACGATGACAATGACGATGAAGATGAAATTAACAATGAAAGTGAGTTTGAAGACCTTGGTGCCTCTGCCGCTGCTGCTTCCGCTGTTATTGTTCCAGCTGCTGCTTAATCCCGCTGCAGGAGTCTAACAGGAGTCAGATGAGGCTGATACGACTCGTCCATTATTGGGGTCGGGGCGCGCGGCGGGAGGGGGGGGGGGGATCTTGTCTCTATTTTGTTATTTTCTTTTTTTTTCACTATGAAATTGTTCTTCTTGGCTTTTATAATTTTTTGGTTAGTTGTTCATATTTTTATTATTAGTATTAGTATGATTTTTATTGTATATATATATATATATATATATATATATATATATATAGGATTATTATATGATTTTTTATGATTTAAAAAAATAATATTAGTCTTTATATTCATTATTCATATTGATTTGATTAATGATAATTTTTACTATTATTATCTATTATTTCATGTGTACAATTGTTATCATTCTTAGTTTTTTTATTGTTTTTATCATCAATTCTGCTTGGTACCTTATAATAATTCTTTATTCTTCTTTTTCCTATCATTTTCTTTTTTATCATAGTAATGATGGGTCAAGCGATAATAATAATGAAGATAGTAATGATGGTAATTATTATTATACTCATTATTATTATAATCATTATTGTTATTATTAGTACCATTATGGTTATAATAAAATAATCATTATTATTATCATTTCTGTTTTAATCTTTTTATCATTATTACCTTTCCTCTTGCTGTCCTTATTAACCGTCCCCCATCACCCCCCCCCCCAAACCGTCTCCCTCACTCACCCCAACCCTACCCCTCACCCCCCCCAAACCGCTCCCCTTCACCCTCCCCCCTCCCCTCCCCACAACCCCTCCCCATCACCCCCCCTCCAACCACCCCCTCCCCCTCCCCCCCCCGCCCTCCGAATCACCTACAAAAGCGGAGGCTCTCCCGCCGAAGGGAAGAGGAGGAAGGCCGGGAATAATAAACTGGCGCAGGAGACGCAGCCCAACAGGGAGGAGAGAGGAAGAGAGTCCTCGTCTCGAAGGATATTTTTCCCTGGTAAACAAGCACATATGTCTGACGAAATTCGTGTTTTCCTTATGATTTGGGATAGCTCTGTGTTGACACTAATGCTCGCCTCGCATTAACCGGGATGAGGAAATGTCGTCGGTAAACAAAATTGCAATTTACGCTCCGCAGAAATAGAGAAATTTTTGCTGAGGTGAAGTGAGTGTTATATATATATTATATATATATATATATATATATATATATATATATATATATATATATATATATATATATACATATACATATACATATATATCTATATCTACAAACACACACCTCACATATATATATGTGTGTGTGTATAGATATAGATATAGATATATGCACACACACACACACACACACACACACACACACACACACACACACACACACACACACACACACACACACACACACACACACACATATATATATTATATATATATATATATATATATATATATATATATATATATATATATATATTATACCATACATATTGAAGATGGATATATAACTGAATAAACTACTGGCAAGGAAATATGTCCATATTCCCTCATGTCGTAGAAAAAAAAAAATAAAAAATGAATAAATCAACAAGTACAACTGGAGAAGAATAAGCTCTATCCCATTCTGTATCTGCTTCGAAGCTTCTTTTTTGGTGTATGCAAATTAAATAGAAATGTAGTCCCAGTGGCAACCCCCGTCGGCTGCACAGTACAAGACGAGTAAGAAATTGGTTGTCTTTGTTCAGCATGAGGAATTGGTTGGAACAAAAATAGATGGTTCGTATGAGACAAGATTTTTTTTTTTTTTTTGTGAAGTTGTCCCTTAAAAATAATACAAAAACGTACCCGTTTTTTTTATCCGAAAAAAGAAGGTTGAAATTAAAACTTTCTTTTTCCACTTCTCACTCTGTTGGTGTTGGAGCAAATATGATTTTTTGACATAGTTTTCTATACCATAATATCATAGAAATTCAATAGGTCTCATATAGGTCAACGTGATGAACATTAATCCCCCCCCCAAAAAAAAAAAAAAAAAAAAAAAAAAAAAAAAAAAAAAAATATATATATATATATATATATATATATATATTATATATATATATATATATATATATATATATATATATATAATATATATATAATCGAAAAAATAAATGAAATAAATAAATAAAACAATAAAAAAGATGAAGAATTATAAATAATTCAAAAATTCCCATACCTTCAAAAACATTTTCTCTCCTTTTTCATCTGATGTTATATTCACTGATGTTATTTTTTGAAGAGTTCGCTAGTGTCCGACTTACATTTATTGATGTTCAGTCAAGTGAAGCCATGTGGAATATTTTGAAGACTTCTGAACACGGTAAAACTGGCCGAAGAATTCTTGTGATTTTTCCTGAAATTTTCGGAGGTAAAAGAAAACTGTCCATTTATATGAATTTTGAAAAGCTTCCTTGTATACTGATTTTGAAAGACTGTTATGTTTATATTGTCTTTATAAAGGTTGATGTTATATATGCGTTTGTCAGAAAAAAAATCTTATGATATGCTATACTAGAATAGCTACACACCATATAATCAGTTAAATATTATCCACTGCATATTTTGGTAGTTTGATAATGATGGTGATGACAGTTATCAGGATTATAATGATAGTGATGATGATGGTGGTAACAATGATAATGTATATAATAATGATGATGATAACAACAACAATAATAAGCAACATCGTCATCAACAACAGCAATAGTAAGAATGATAATAATGATAATAGCAATAATAATATTAGCAACAACAACAATAATAATGATAATCACAAATATAATGATATAGGCAGTAATGATAATAATGATGATAATAATAATAGTTGTAATAATAGCAGTATTAGTAATGATAATAATTACATGGTTATATTAATAATGTGTCCCCGGCTTAAAACAGAAAATAAACTTCGCCAATCCGAGTTCATTACCATAACAAGACGAGTGATTTTTTTTTTTCTTTTTTTTTTGAAAAGCACCTGTATCAAAGCCTTCTTCATGGAAATATAAATCAATGATGTGAGTTTTCCTTTTTAAAAAATTTCTCGCATTTCCTCAAAAACCGAAAGAACCGGACGCAAACCCCATCGGTTCAGTATAATAACAATAATAAAATAATAATAATAATAATAATAATAATAATAATAATAATAATAATAATAATAATAATAATAATATAATTAATAATAAAATAATAATAATATAATAATATAATAATCATAAAATAATAATAATGATAATGAATAAAAAAAAACCTCCAATATAAACTACGAAGATAAAAAAAAATCAAGATAAGAGTTTCCCAAGCGAAGCCTCACGGAAAAGACGCAAGAAGAAGCAATACCGAAGCCCTTTCCGAGGCGGGCGAGCGACCCAGCCCAGGGGAGGAGGGACAAATCTCGCAGAAAACGTCAAAAGGCACTCCCGAGGTCTTCCCATTCGTCTTGGGTCGTTGGGTCTTCGGGACAGGGCGAGGCAGGTCAAGCTATTGCCGACTGCGCGGTCTTAATGTGTATCTTGGTTTCACGTCCGGGCGGTCTGTCTTTCTTCTTTTCTTGCTTTGCTTTTTTTCTTTTTCTGTTTGTATTTGCACTGTCTGTGTCTGTCTGTGTTTGTTCTCTCTTTCTTGTCATTCTCTCTCTCTTTCTCTTTTTTCTTTCTTTCTTTCTCTCTCTCTCTCTCTCTCTCTCTCTCTCTCTCTCTCTCTCTCTCTCTCTCTCTCTCTCTCTCTCTCTCTCTCTCTCTCTCTCTCTCTCTCTCTCTCTCCCCCCCCCCGACTGTCATAACTTTTGTGTTTTCAAATAAGGAAAAGTTCCGGTTTACGTCATTACTGAGAAAGAAAGAATGTTTTTCTACTGTGTGTGTATCTATCTACCCATTTCTGTCCATTTCTATTCGTATTTTGATATTCAGTTATCGGTCTATTTACATCTATGTCTATCTATCGATCTTTATAACTATCTATATATCTGTCCTTCTATGTAATATAAACACAGCGTCTCTTTCCGAAATGCTGCCCTTCGACGTGCTCAAAAGCACAAACCGCGAGAGACGCTGAAATATTATGCAAAAATCTGTTTCGCCTTTTTTTCCTTTTTATTGTTTTTCGTAATAATTTCTGCGATTTTCTAGGAGGGGGGAGGGGTTCTTAAGTAAGGAATGGCGCAGAGTCTGTGTAATTAGCGTTGTTTATTATACATGCATACACACTTACGCACACGCACGCACGCGTGTACACACACACACACACACGCACACACGCACGCACGCACGCACACACACACACACACACACACACACACACACACACACCACACACACACACACACACACACACACACACAAACACACACAAGCACACACACACACACACACACACATACAAACAAAACAGATAAACCAAAAATAAACAAGTAGGACCTGTAAAAAAACAATAATATAAAAAGAAAAAGAAAAGAAAAAAGCAAATACCGATGATCCCGTCTAGTTATCCGTGTCCAACCAGGGAGGGAAAAGTCAGAGTTCAGAACCCGGAGGCCCAAGGAACCCACAAATATTTATCCAGATTTTGTTTCCAGATTTCGGAAAGTCGGAATGCATCGGACTGTATAAGTTTACTCGGATGTGTGTGTATATATATATATAATGTATATATTTATGTATGTATGTATGTAAGTATGTATGTAGCTGTCTATCTATCTATCTATCTATCTATCTATCTATTATCTATCTATCTCTCTATCTATCTATCTATCTATCTATCTATCTATCTATCTATATATATAAATATATATATATATATATATATATATATTATATATATATATATGTACAGACACTTTGTTGGATTGTGGATATATACATTTATTTGTGATGTGTTATTTTGGTCTTTGGTTAATGATTATAAGAGTTTGTGGTAGGCCTATAAGATTTTGTGTTTGTTTGGTGGTGGTGGTGGTGTGTGTGTGCATATGTGTGTGTGCGTATGTGTGTGTGTGTGAACGGTTTCATGTCTGTCCGAACGAACCTATTGTCCCAGGCTAGTTTTCTCTCCTTATACATTTTAATTCTGTATAATACTAAAAAAAAAGAAAAGAAGAAAAAAAAACTTACCCCCCCCCGCCCATTTAGGCTTACACCACCTACCCACTGTCCTCCAGCCCCAAATACGCAGAAAAGCAGAAAAATATAAACCAACCTCTTAACGACTCCTTCCTACCTAACCTCACAACCAGCCTTATAAACCTCCTCCATAGTCAGGTAAATTCCCCTGTTTGTCTCCAGGGCGTTAGCAGAGAGAGAGAGAGAGAGAAGAGAGAGAGAGAGAGAGAGAGAGAGAGAGAGAGAGAGAGAGAAGAGAGAGAGAGAAAATAAAATAAAATAGAAGAAAAAGAAATTAGATAGTAAAGGGCACTCTAGGATTCGCGAGAGACAGCATTTACGAGACTTTGAGCCATCGAGAGAGCGTCGTCGGCTCGAGATGAGGCGGAAAGTTACAAGTTAGGTTACCCAGAGGTACTGTTGTGCACCGGATCTAAATGCGAGCGTTTTACGTTTTTTTTTTTCTTACCTTTTTTTCCGTTTAATTTATTGTTAGTGTTAGTAGTGTTGGTCTTATGATATTGTTTTTTTTATCGTTTCACTAATAGGACTAATAATTGAATTGTTTTTGCTTACGGTTTGGTTATTTAAATTTATCCCTGGAAATACTTCAGCATGGAAAAATATAAGAAAGAAATATCATCTTCAAACTAGATTTGCGACTTAATAATCCGTTGACAAGGACATTTAATAACAAACTTACACCGTAGCGTGAAAAAAGGTGTTAAGGAAATACAGACCTTATGTGGCGACTCACCATCAAAAGCTAACAGCCATTAGTGAAAGGTTTAGAGAAATTTCAGTTAGCTTTCACAAAGGGGACTTGAGAGACGGAGGGGGGGGGGAGGGGTAAACGTTTTGGGTTCGCTTTGGGAAAGGAGTAAGGAGGGGAGGAGAAGAGAAGGAGGAGAGGGAGAAGAAGGAGAAGGAGGAGGAAGAGGAGAAGAAGAGGGAGAGGAGAAGAAGGAGGAGGAAGAGGAGGGAGAGGGAGAAGAAGGAGGGAGGAGGAAGAGGAGGGAGGAGAGGGAGAAGGAAAGGAGGAGGAGGGGAAGGAGAAGGAGCTAGAGATGGAGCTGTAGGAGGAGGAAGAAGGAAAAAGAAAAGAGGAGGAGGAGGAAAAGGAGGAAAAGGAGGAGGAGGAGAAGAAGAAAGAGGAGGAAGAGAATAACAAGAAGAAAAGAAGAAAGAAAAAAGAGGAGGAGGATAAATGAATAAAGGTTTGGTTTTGACTTATGGACGGAGTCAGACTGAATAAGGTTGATGGCACATTGCAAGTATTAACGAGCTACAAGGAGAAAAAAGAAGGAAAGGGAGAGGGAAGAAATAGAGAAAAATAAAAAGACAAAGGAGGATAGAGGAGGAGATCATGGAAGAAGGAAGGAAAGGCAGATGAGAGAGAGAGAGAGAGAGAGAACAGAGAGAGACAGACAAACAAACAGTCAGAGAGAGAGAATGGGTGTATGAGAGTACAAACAAGACAGAAATACCTTTATCCTCGTTCCACCGGCCACTTAATTAATCAATACCCCAGTACACAGGCGATCCGCACATAAAGCTACAGATTACGAACATAATAGCCATGGAGAGTAAACACAGTGGCGTGACAATTCAGGGGTCACTGCCCTCCCCTCCCCCCCCATCACCCCACCCCTCACCCCCATTCCCACCTCACCCCCCCCCCCAATAAATGCATGACAAAGCGATAGGAACGACAGGAAGAAATCTACTGCGCATGACCGTTGTTTGTCGCAGCCTGATTATAAACATGTGAGCGTCGGCTTGCGTGTGAGGTTAGCCTGGAAGACGCAGGTATCATTAACGTGGTTCCGTCCCTCGAAATCGCCTTATTTACGATGTGATTATGGGTAGTTTGGTCGTTAATCTCGATGTTTATGGATGAATATCTTAACGATTTGGGATATGGAAGAGAGAGGAGCGCGAATGAAGCGTTTCGAGTCAATGGCTTCAATGCGTCGGATCCCTGTTACTGAATTAACCTCGCTCTAAACTCTGATGATGATTTCTACCTTCTGTAAAGGGGCTTCCACACGTCTGGCATCACCGATCGAAGCCTGTCTGCCAATCCAAGCATTTTAATGGTAAAGTTCTTGATTTCTGCAAGAATTCTAGAACAACTGAATACCTGTTTAAAACGGTATATAAAAATGTGTGTATGAGTGTGTGTTTGTGTGTGTGTGTGTATTATATATATATATATATATATATATATATATATATATATATATATATAGAGAGAGAGAGAGAGAGA